GCTCCACTGACTTCGCTACCAGTAGTGGTACCGCTCGGTTTACCACTGGCTCCACCTGTTGTGCTGCTGGCTCCACTATCACTACTGGTGCCGTTTGGTTTACTATTGGCTTCACTACTGATATCGCTACTACTGCTTCCACCTCCAGGACGACTACCAACGCTACTTCCACCGCCAGCTACAGTGGTACCTGCGCCACTACTTTCACCGTTAGTTCCAGTAGTACCTGCACCACCACTTTCGCCGCCTTTTCTACCGCTACCTCCACTGTCACTTTCACCACTACCTCCACCACTATCTCCACCGCCATCACCACCGCCTTTTCCACCGCCACCTCCACCGCCTTTTCCACCGCCACCTCCATCGCCTTTTCCACCGCCACCTCCACCAAACAATCCACTGAATGCACTGAAGATAGAGAAAGCCAATCCTATAGCCGCTAGTACGAGCCCGATTGGATTTGTAGCCATTAGGATTGCAGCTATACCAGCAATAATTGCAAAGGCATGTTTAACAGGCTCTGGTATACCAGGTATGAGGTCAATGATAATTGACATTGCAGCTGTTGCAATCGAACTGATTTGAGCTGCTTTTGCGGCCAATGTTGTTGCCTTTGATAGGGCTGAAACACATTCTGTAATTTTTTTAATATTTTTGTACACAGTTCCTGCTTTTTGTATCACATCGACTACTTTCTTATCTACACCAACTGCAGCGAGTAGATTGGTAGCTAAGTCGAGATAATGATCGCCCGACAGAGGCTTTCCAGATATTAACGATTTCACCAATGGTTTGGTAGCGGTCAGTATTTGTTGTCCTTTACCACCAATGATGGAGCCCGCCACATCAATCATGTCTTCGTAGCTAATCGCTTGATTATTGAGCTTTTTATGTAGTAATGGCATAGCTGATTGAACAACATGACGAACCTCCTCTGGAAGAAAAGTACTAATTGCATTCACCGAGTGGTCAAGTATTTTTTGTGGATTCTTCGATTGAATCGAATCGATTACATCGATCACTACGTGAACTTTCTCAGCATATTCTGGTGGCAAAAATGAGGCTCCCAAGTTTAATGCATGTTTCGCTAAATCTTCAGTTGCCATATCTTTGTGTTTAATAATTGTTTGTACCTCTTGAGCTATACCATAGACTTTTTGTATTTCGGGCGGCAAACACGACTTTAGATTATCGTCATTCAAGAGAGTATTCAATGCTTGTAAGGGATCCTTTGTTTGTGAAAGAGCTTGAGCAGCTGAGTTTGCTATTGTGACGGCTGTATCAATTTTCTTGGCATGTTCCGGAAAATATCCATTTGCTATCGAATGAATTGCTCCTTGTAGATCATTATTTTGTATTTGATTAATTGCATTTTGTGCAACGACCAGTGACTTCGCCGTTTTCTCGTCGACTATACCAATAGCTGCATCAAAAGCACAACCAAGTAGATTTTCTTTCGTTATTGGTTGCTTCGTTAGTTGAGTTAATGATGTCAAAATCTTTTGAGCTTGTTCCGGTATATGTGGAATAAGTGTGAGAGCTTCTTTGATTGCATCGATTTCCTGATGATTCGTCAATTTTTCATATACATTTGCGGCAGTATGTAGCATTGCTGATGTTTTCTTTGGTGCCAGAACTGAAGCTAAATCAAACGTTGTTTTGACCACATCTTTTAATTCGCATGTTTCTAACTGGCTGAACTGTTCTATTTTTTCAAAAAGTGCTTGGGTCTCTTTGTTCGGTAATAGTTGTGCGAGATACTTTAATGATTGCAGTTTGTCAATTGACAATGAATTCAATGCATTCAACGATACTTGTAGAACATTTCCTGTTTCCAATCCGTACAAATCAGTTATCGTTTCAATGACTTGATTTTGTATCGCCTTTGAAGAAGCCAACTGTTTGATGCCTTCATTGAATCCCAATCGAAGATTTTCTGGAAGCAAAACTGAAATCGATTTGAGTGCTTGAATTGGTTCTTCTATTCCTCGATCAAGTATTCTTCCCAAACTGATCTCAGATGAGTCTATAGAAATGATTTCTTGTGCTAATTCGATAATTTTTTGTTTGACATCACCAACAATTATTTCTGGGGTCGATCCTAAGATAGCTTTGGCTTGATTGGAGAGCTGCTCATCTGGTATTAAATTAAGAACTTCATCAATGACAGTCATCGTTGGATTACTGTTGTTAGTCAAACTGTTCAATGCATTTGATATTGGCTTAAGAAATCGTTTCATATTCGGATCAGGAATGCATTCAATCGTTTGGTTTACAAAAGTTGAAATATTCGTTTGAGTGAGTTCGCCACTTAGAACTGGCATCAAATGTTTATATGATTCCAATAATGTATTGAGATGATCAAGTGGTTTCAATCCCACATCGGTATCGTTCAAACGACATGTTAGTTTAATACCCAGTTCCAATGCTTCGCATTGTGTCATAGTTGTCGAGGTCATATGCGAAACGATTTGTATTAGTTCATCGTTGGCTTGTTGTTCTCTATTCGTTGGATTAATTAGATCGCAAAGATCAGAAATATTTTGCATTAATGGAACAATATCATTATTCTAAATGCTATCGAATATGGTCGCTAAATGATGATTGAGGTTTTTATGTTCGATCAATTTCAATTCGTCGACAAGAGATGCTTCAACTGTCTTAACAAAACTTGTGACCAAAGTTGGAGATGACAGTTCTAATTGGAATTGGGCAAATTTTTTTTGCAATATTTCCATCCAAACGATCTGTTTTGATTTTAATTGACGGCAGTGACATGTTATTGATAATACAGTTTCCAAGAGATTATATGAATCTTTTGGTTCAATTAGTTTTTTCAAATCAAACGATAATAATCGGCAACGATCATTTCCAAAATTTAACATTGAAGAAATAATATCACCACAGACTTGATTATTGCAGATCGATGTCTGGTCCGATAATAGAATGATAGTGAGTACTGTTCTCAATGAATCGACAGTCGCTGGATCAATATGTGACCGCAGTGTTGTACATATATCATCAATGAACATTTTCCAGTCTCGATCTGTTTTGTCTGATTGTTTCATTTCGTTTGTCAAATTCGAAATGAGACGTTGTAAACCTTGAAGTGTATCTTTGTCGGTTGAACTTAAATCGGGTGATAGTGAAGCAAGAACACATGGAAAGGTTGATAGATCGTTTATTGATGGTGAAAATTTATCATTCGAAATTCTTTCACTTAATTTCATAAATTCAACGACATTTTTTGATTCATCTGTATCATCTAATTGTTCTTGAACATAATCGAATACAGTAGAAGGAGATAGAGTATTATTCGAAGCAGCTATTGCTTGTGTGACAAGCTGCAAATCAGCCAATGGCAGATTCGATTCGAACATTTTCTGCAAAATGACATTTTCATTAATCGATTCACCATCAGATGATAATTGTAATAGTCGATCAAGAAATTGTAGTGGATCACGATTTGTTTCAGTTGTAATTTCTGAGATTAGTGTACTTAAGGCTTGTTCAGGGTTTTTAGTATCTTCGACTGCTTCAATTGTGTTAACTACTTTTTCCATCAAATTTTTCAACTGTTGTTTATCCTTGTTCGATAGTTTTTGAGTTTCATCTTGATTCATGACTAAATCAGTTGCATAATCGAGTAAACGTTTTTTTGCCATATTTTCTTTACTAGGATCTTTATGATTATTCTTTTCATATTCAATTAAACGTGCAAGTATTTGTTCATGTTCCTTTCTTGCATGTTGTTCGAAAAGAATCGATAATTTTTCAGCACAATCAATTGCTAATGATAGATTTTCGGCTTGTGTCTTTCCTTCTATACCGATAATAGCTCTTGACAAATTTTCATTCACAATTACGTGTATTTTTTCGTACAAAGTTCTCCATTCAGTTGTTGTCAATGTTTCAAATGTATGTTTGAGACTTTCGTAGATATTATTTGTATATGTTGTCACTTCATGATTATCGGATTCAACAGCTGACAATATCAAATCACATGTTAAACCTGCAGGAGTATCTGAACGTTTAGGATCGGAATGTACTAATCCATCGATTAGAGTGATAATTGGAGCAAGGGCTGTGGCTGCTCTTTGACGAAATAGATTCGTATTGTCTTCGAGTAATTCCATTAATCGTGTTTCGGTTTCGGATTGTGATAAATGTTTCCATGATGATGGAAGATCAATCCGTTGTTTGTTATCTATTAATATTTCTTGAGGTTCGATTCGTCCAGTAATGATCAATTTATATCTTTTGATCGTTCTTTCTGAAAGTCGAACTACTAATGGTAGATCAAATTTGAAATTTCCTGTTGGTGCAGTTTGTTTTATTTCAACCGTACATGTAATTTTTCGTGGATGAAGTGGAGATAGTGCAATAATTTTTTCATTATTCGCAAATTTGAAATTGAATATAGAATTCTCTTTTGATTCGTATTCTAATTGAGCAGATAAATTTCCATCATTTCTAACTGCAATTGTAAATGGTGGAATTTTTGAGCCTGGTGTTCGTGTACCACAATGAAGAATATTCTGATCTAATGAAATGATCGCAGCCATTCGTTTACAATTGAAAGGAATACGTTGTATTCTTTCTTTACAGTTTGTTTGAAGAAGAAATTCACAATCAAATGAGGCTAATTTCTTTTGAACTTGGTATGTATAATGACATTCAACTGTTTGTTGAGGTAGAATGATAAATGGAAACAGAACATGGTTGTCAATAGTGACATGTGTCGATGTGGTATGTATATCATCAATGAACATTTTTACCGGACCTTTATTGTGTAGAATGAGTTGACCTTTTGTATCGTTAGCTTCTTCAGAAACTTGCAGTTTTATAAGAGAGTTAACGCGAGATTTATCTAATTCTGGCCAACCGGATGTCGTCTTGAATATTAATTTAAACGATGGACGTTGACTTGCATTAGGAAAAATAAAATCAATAAGATTTTCGATTACTCGATGTGCATCTTTGACTTGTAATCCGATTTTCAATATAAATGATGTACCTGGTTCCAGAAGAACTTGGTGGTGAGATAGCATCATGACAACCATTTTCGAAATATTTTCAGGTTTTGATTCGATGACCATTTTTACTTCACCTGTATTGTGTATTGTAAGTTCTTCATAGAGAGTTGTGCCTGGAAGACATGGTTCTAAGTCAATACAAAACTTTTTCCCTGTTAAAGATATTGATTTATAAATGAGATCATAAGAAATTCTTCGTAATTTGCCTAAACAAATAATTCGAACTTTGAAATCTTTACTAAAGTAAATTTCATAGACACATCTTGCATCTTGAACTATATCTTGTATATTCCAATCAACAGTTAATGTTTTTGATTCGTATGCAAGTAGGAAAAATGCTGAATATTTACTATCAATTTCAAATTTTCCAATGGCACCACCTTCTCGACGTATTTTAACTCGTAGATCGAGTGCTGTTGGATTTTGAAGAGTAAATGAACGTTTTTCATGTTTATCAGAGCAAGCGAGAACTATGCCAAAATCGATTAAATAAGTTTTGACTTGATTCAACGATTGATCATCAACTGTTGCTTCGAACAATGGTAGATCGATACCAATCGAAAATTGTTTTATTTCGCAACAAAGAATAATAGATATGATCAAACGATTATTTCCTAATTTCAATTGCCATTGTTCTTGATATTTACCTTGATTAATTTCACTATTTGGTGTTACCTTGATAGTATTCAAATCATGTGGATCAAGGACAGATGATGAATGATGAATCACAAATGCAGATTTGGAACGTTCATCAGAAGTAGATGACATATCAAAATTGATTTCATCATCACTATTATTTACAATTTGAATTGATTTTGTATTTAATTGTGCATAAGACCAATTCTGAATGATTTGTCCCAGTTGTATGATAATCGATGAATGTGATGCAAAATATTCGCCATTCTGCTTATTAAGCGTTATTTTACTTGTAGATGGTGAACCGGTCGACTTCATCAGTGTTGTAACATTAACTTTTTTACTTATTTCGTTTAGATTAGCTATACGTGATGGCTGTGTAATAGATCGCATTTGTTTTTTTCGTTCATGGATCAGAACTGATGTTTCATCAATGATCACTTGACACGCACCTAATTCTTTTTCATTCATCAATGTTTGTTGTTCTTTTCGGACTAGATGCTTTCTTATCGTATCGAGTATAAAAATAGCTTTCTCACAATGCTCTTTTGTTTCGAGTGGATGAACAAGTAATTGTATCAAATTCAATTCAATCGAAATCAGAATACGATAGATTTCTAAGCCAAAATTAAGTTCACGTTCAGCCAATCCATTTCCATCACGGAGTAATAGACGCATTTGTTTTGTATAGATTTTGTCAACATTCTCTTTTGATACTGTTTCTTCGTTGTCAATCAATTGGACGAGAAAGCCATTACGTTGAAGATTTTCTAATGATCTATCGAGTATCTGTCGAAATTCTATGTTAGATTGTAGATCTTTTTCTATAGCAAGTGATGCATCATGTAATTTCGATAGAGTAGCTGCTAACTTGTCGAAATGAAATACTTCTTTGAATGTTTGTAATTCTTGTTTTAAAGCATCGGCTGAATCAAATCCTAGAAAAATACGATGTTGAATTCGATTGAGTTCATTTTCATCAACTGTTGCATTTAATGTGTTCACTGTTTGTACGATTGTTCTTTCTAAATATTCGTACTTCGATAATAGTAGAGTCATAAGAAAATGATGCGTGGGTGGAGATGAAACTTTTAGTGTTTGAAAATCTCTTTCCAGTGCAATTGTTGGTGTTGCAATTATACTGTCTTGTTTAGGTATAGGATTATAGAATGGTAGTTCCGGCATTTTGCAATCATATATGGTTATTTGTTCAATATCTCTGCACACACGATTTAGATCTTTTATCCAATTTCCAAGTTTTCTCTTTCTTTCGAAAGCACTCAAATCTCGATACTCTTTAAGTAACTCGAAAAATAAATGATCTGACAAAGTATCGATTAAAGTAGTAGATTTGTCTGTTGTCATTGAAGCTTCTTTTGATTCATCTGATGTCGTAATAGATGCATTTTCTTTCATCAAATTGTCTTCAATAGTGATATCAGAAAATTGTATTGAGGTATTAGGAGTAATGCGTAAAACAATCGTATTTTTTCTGTTTATCCCAAACATGTATTTTACATCGATTTCATCTAATGAACAAGTATCAGCAGGCTTAAGTTGAATAGTACCCATATCTGTCCATAGGTTTTTTTCATCATCACCAGCCATAATTCGCAAGAACCAAGTTTTTTTGGAAGTTAATGGTGCTGGTATTAAATATGTAAATAAATCTTCTACATAATTTGAGAGTGTATAACTTTTCAATGGTTTTGGCACGCTCTCGAATATTTCCGTGTCAGACTCTTTTGCAAAGATTTGAATTTTATTATCCCACATATCTCGATATCGTTGTTTAGATTCTGGTTTATCATATTGATACTCGACAAGTTTGACCTTGATTTGAACAGAATCAATGTAAATCATATTCATCAACTCTTTTCCTTCTTTTTCATTATCGAGTCGGCAAGATCGATGTGAAGCTAGCACGACGCGACGAGCTAGCACGACGAAGAAAACAATTTCATTGGATATGAAAATCAACCAATGAAAAAATTACAATAATAAAAAACACCCTTTTGAGGGTTTGGGCAACCATAATGGCAGCACTTAGCAACCAATACAAAATAAATCAGTGTGAAGCTAGCACGACGAAATAAAAACACATAATTTTGAAAAAAAATCAATTTGTGCACCACACGATCCATTGCCCGGACATGAGTTATACATCAACTTGTAGAGAATTTAATACTCTATCAAATGATGTATAACTCATCTTCAGATTCCATTTCCATATCGGTGATACATGGGCATCTTTGGATCCAATAACAAAAAAAAGCCAAAAAAATTTGAAAAAAAAATTTATTTCCTGGGCAAACCATCCATTGCCCGAAAATAAGCTATCCATGATTTTGTAGAGAATTTAATTCTACATCGAATGATGTATAGCTCCTACTAAGAATCAATTTCTTTGCTGGTGATCACGCCCAAATTATGACACGAGCCAAAAAAAAAAATGGAAAAAAATTTGAAAAAAATTTATCTCCTCGGCAAACCATTCATTGCCCGAAGACAAGCTATACATCATTTTGTAGAGAATTTAATTCTGCATCGAATGATGCGTAGCTTATATTCAGAATCCATTTCCTTGGGGGTGATCACGCCAAAATTATGACATGAGTCATAAAAAAATTGGAAAAAAATTTGAAAAAAATTTGTTTCCTGGGCAAATCATTCATTGCCCGAAAATAAGCAATACATCATTTTGCAGAGAATTTAATTCTGCATCCAATGACGTATAGCTCATATTAAGAATTCATTTCCTTGGGGGTGATCTTCCCCTTATTATGAATGGAGTCATAAAGAGATTCGAAAAAAAATTTGAAAAAAATTTATTTCCTGCGCAAAGCATCCATTGCCCGAAGACAAGCTATACATCATCTTGTAAAGAATTTAATTCTGCATCGAATAATGTATAGCTCATATTAAGAATCCATTTCCTTGAGACTGATCAGGCCCAAACTATGACATGAGTCATAAAAAAATTGGTTAAGGAGCCACAATCGCGATTTCGACCTTGCTTAAGGGTCTCATCAGGTGGCATCATTCAAATTCACCATAACTCTAAGGGCTATGACAAAAACCGAATGTTCAACTTCTAGATTGTGGCTGTTATTCATTATGATTGTAGCTCATACAGTTAATACCTGTTCTCTTCTAATTTTCTAATTAGGAGTTGAACATTCGGTTTTTGCCATAACTCTTAGAGTTGTGATGAATTTGAATAATGC